AAAGTGGACTATATTCTTTAAATTGATTTGTCAAGAAAAAGTCTTGAAGTCTTATGGCAAAAAAAGGCCGAATTGAAGCAAATAAATAATATTTGAACAATGAAGAGGGAGATAAATGACTAAGAAAAGAGTTACAAATAACATTTAAACTATTTCTTTTTTTAAATGAAAAATGAATGCAAGAAAGGCTTTTGCAGGGAATACAATTTCTATGTAGAAGTATATTTGCAATCAAAAATAAAAATAATCTTAGGAAGAAATGAAACGATTAAAAAAGGGCAAACTTATGTAACCCCATGATGAAAATGATGATTGAATATGTTGATAAACGAATGTGAAAACTAAGATGAAAAACAAATCTAGAACTCTAGACACAATATCACAGACTAAAAAGTTTAGGCGCCAGCATTCGAAAATACAGTGTATGTTAATGACGCCTTTTAGCAGGGTAATTAGTAAATAGGATACAAGGGGAGTCTAAAATATAGAATCATAAAAATACGCAATCTGATTTCACTGGACTGAAATAAATTCATGTTCGTAAGAAAGTTTACACTGATAACAGCGTAATGAATGTAAGTGATGTAAGGATTATTTATTAGGCAAGTCCAGTCCAGGCTCGTATATTCAACTAAAAAAGTAAGATAGCGAAAGTTTGAGCAAAAACGTTTTATTGTAGAAAAAATGGAAGGTTTACAAGCGGGCAAATAGGAGGAGAAAGTATGGAAGAGATTTAGTTAAGAAGGTAGGGGGGGAGAGAGAGAGGTAGGGGGGGAGGGAGGGTCGGAAGGGATAAAAAATGAAATTCGCGAGTAGGGGTTTATGAAAAGTAAAAGAAAATGGGAGATAAAAGTAAAAACGTTGAGTAAGCATAACACATAAAAATGATCTTCTGAAAGAATAAAGGGATTATCTAGATATACAGGATGGATTGATAGATAATAAATATTACATTTCGTATGCATTATATAGAAAGAAAAAGGCACAAATAAAAGAAATAGCACGAAGCGCAAAAATATAGCTACCAGTGAAACTTTCCACCCAGAAAAAACGGATTTCAAAAAGAGATATATTCCATACTACAAGGGGCTGTTTGTTCGGTATGGTTGTACGATATGTACAATAGAAGTTGAACCCTGTCATTTAGTGTGTGATATCTATTAACTATACAAATCGATAGATAGACCAGACTGACTGACAAATAGACGAATAGACATTAGACATGTACCATTGGTGGATAGATGACCAGAAGAATATACAGAATATGCAGATAGATAGTTGAAAATGGATAACAGTCTATTTCTGTTTTTTAATACATGAAAACTATGCCGGAATCAATTTTTCACAATTGGTTCTGCAAAATAAATTTGTTATTCTTTCTTTTTTAATGTTTAATTTATGTTCATTGAATTTGAATATTTTACTTAGTTTGGTAAATATACAAGCAAATGACTATCTGCCTTTTACTTAAGTCTTCAAGTCCTTATATCTTTACAACCTTATCCCCGAAATTAATGCATTTGAGCCATGTCTCAAATCAGCCAATAACCGGCTTAAATCTTTAAACTTTGAATACAATCTTAAGTTGAACCAACCATAATTGAGCCGCGTCTCAAATTTAAGCCATGGCTCAAATTCTTTCAATTAGGCCTCTAATGTTGAAGACTTTTGATATTTCAAATTATAAATTCTGTTAAATCTAATGGTTACCCGTAAAAATATCAAAGGTTACACAATCAGGTTGCAAAGATTCAAGAAGGTGTTCAGTTCCTTTGGTAAAATAATACAATTTTTGAGTTGCTTGAATTCGACAATTGTAAATTAATTACATAAAATCTTTTTTTAATAATAAAAGATATATTCTGTGCTTGAGTTCTGATAAGCAGAATAATATACATAATTATAATTATAGAACTTATATGTAGGCTTAAACTTAGATATTTAATATTCAGATAATTCTAGGATACAATACAACACAATATTAGCATCCATACAATAAAATATAGTAAACCAAGTAAGGAATGTTTTAGTTTTAGTTTGATTTGCATGTGATGTATAATACAATATGATTTGCATGTGTTGTATAATACAATATGATTTGCATGTGTTGTATAATACAATATGATTTGTTTATCTTCAGAATACAATCTTCTATAGTTCAAGCTCTTTGCCAATATCCGTAGACAGTTTATAATGGGAAAACAATAGATCCCACCATCCCTCCATCTAACCGTTGAATAGATTTAATACATCTGTTGTTTAAAATCTAATAAATCAAGTGAGCAGGGTGCCTACCTGACATGTCGTCTTCTCTGTTACCCCGCACACAATCCTCTGTATTCCTTCAACCCACACCTTCAACTCCATCTTGATTTATTTTTTCCCGCCAAATTTTTTTTCCTTCAAAATGGCGGAAATGCTAAAATATCTTCTTCACAATGTTAATCACAGAGGACACTTGCAGATTCTCATGGTTTCACATCCTGGTCAAGAGACCAACCAACCAATCTGAAAATAATAAATGGTAAATCAATTATAACGTTCCGAATTAGGAAATTCATGACAAACTTAATTGACAAAGATTGCAATTTGTGATAACTAGTCAAGGTTATTACAATGAGGGGGGTCTTAAAAAAGGAAAAATCATAATTTAGAAGAAAATTGCAATGCAATGCAGTAGGGTATGCAAGAAATCTATTCTTCAAGCTTTTTGTTTTCAAAGAGAACATGCAATTATTTTAAAGAGAATTTTACTCAAAAAAAGCACATGGGGATTTGTTAAAATAAAAAAATGTTGAACTAGAAACTTATTTTTTAGAGGGAATTAAAAATTTGCAAAATTCTTAAATAGTGGCTGTCGAAATGAATTTAGTTTTTGTCACAAGCTAAAATTTTCTAATCTATCTATAAATTTGGCTTGTCTGTCTGTTTGTCTGTCTGTTTGTTTGTATCCAATAAACGTCAAAACGGCTGAACCGATAGGGCCCAAATTTTATGTGGGACATCACGTGACCACAGAGAAGGTTTATGAATGATCAAAATTTCAAATATTTGTCTCCATCAAAATTCGATCTTCATTAAATTTTTTAAAATTTTGAAAATCCACGAAATTTTTTGTGAAAATCCGCGAATTATTTTTGTTTTGTTTTACGATGTACACAAAGAGAACATGTTCACAATTAATTTAGAAGAGGCTAGTAATTATATATTTGCAGCCTGATAGTGTAGCGTCCCATATCATATTAGAATATCTCCAAGCTTTAACGCCAAAATAAAACCATAATACTCGATAAAACTAGTATTTTCCGCAAGAAAATTCTTATATTAGCCTTATTCAATTTTTCGAAATGATTCATTCTTCTTAAATTTTCTGATTAGTCCCGAAAATCGTAATTTAGACCTATTGACGATCTGATATGATGTGGGACACCCTGTATAATATTTAAAACTTAAGACTATTTGATTTAGATAATTAATAGTTAGAACTAAAAACTATGACACCGGTTTGCAAAGAAATAGGGAACAGAAAATCAGATTTTGTGACAAAAACTCAATTTTTTTTTATTACCAAGTCACACTGGATAAAAATTCACTTTTTTTTAGTTTAAAAATATGTATTAAAAGATGTTTATTTCTTATTTCATTCGCCGACCAAAAAGAGCGCAATAAGAAGAGGTGCCAAGTGCTCTGAATTTCTAGTGATGCAAAAAATCCTGTCTTGCAATATAACAATCATTAATATTTGAACTCGTGTAAAACGTGAAATAAGCTTTCTTTGATAGCTCCTTTGCATTCTTNCCAGGAGGTGTGTAGGAAAAGGTGAAAGGATGAAACCTTATTAATCATCTATATAATTTAGTTGCAATTATGCCAAGGGTAAAAATAATCCTAGTTTCTCACGAAATATTCCTTGAAATCTATTACTTCTTGCGTACACTGCGTATATGCCTTAAAGCGTAAGTCGCGAGGTTTTTATGCCAGTTTGCGTAATGGTCGGATTATGTATTCACGGTTTATTTACAATTACATCTTTACTAGATTTTTAAATTATTACAACTCATTTTGAAAACTAGTTACTTGTACAATTACAGAATTTTAAAGTAATAGATAGAAAAGGGATAAGTCAAGGATAGAAAAGGGATAAGTAAAGGATGGAAAAGGTATAAGTAAAGGATAGAAAAGGGATAAGTTAAGGATAGAAAAGGGATAAGTTAAGGATAGAAAAGGGATAAGTAAAGGATAGAAAAGGGANGAAACTGTAAAGCATCTAGTTGGTTATTGTTAAAAAATAGCCATCACAACAAAACTAATGAAGAATAAATTTTGACCAGAACAAAAAAATATATTATTGAACACACAATATACTGCATGCAAGTAAATGTGTTTCAGAGATGACAAACATTAATCTACCTTTATATCAGATCAAAAAATTTAGTCACCAGTTATCTCCATGATTCATATTTTTTCAAAACAAATCCATGAAGCATGCATCAAAGTTCCTTTGAAATATGATTTACTAAAACTTCTGGACTCATATGACACTCACAATGGTAAACAAGAGGTCCTGGTTAAAAATCGAGCCAGTCAAATGTAGATTATTCATGTTTGTTATAATAAACAGTGAGAACCAGAAAACTCTGAAATCCAACTTTATATTTATAGATTTATTTTCGAAACTCACTGAGGAACAATAAAGAAAGCTTTAAGAATATTGTACACCATAGGGCCATCAACAGAGATCAATATGGTCTTATACCATCTTCATTCTATCTATCTATCAGGGTCCTTGGAATTTAGTATTTGTGGAGTTGCAGTTTTTCCTCCAGTTTCAGTTTTCTCGGATGAGGAATTAGGAGACAAGATAGAAAATAAAATTTGCTAAAAAATTTTGAATTAGCTCTGCATTCCATAAGCCTTGAGTTGGTAAGATTAAGATTAAAAAATATCTCCTGTAAAAATATTTTTCTGTATTTAATCAATTAATAACGAAAAAAGTCTGGGGCTGGAAAGAAAGGATTTGGATTGGAAGTACTGGATTAGGATTGAAATATAGGGATTAAAATTGGTAGAACGGGGTTGAGATTAATGGGAGGGATTAAGATTAAAAGTAATGGTTTGAAATTGATAGGACAAGAATGGAATTGGAAGGACAGGAAAGNCAGGAATGGAATTGGTAGGACAGGAATGGAATTGGAAGGACAGGAATGGAATTGGTAGGACAGGAATGGAATTGGTAGGACAGGAATGGAATTGGTAGGACAGGAATGGTATTGGTAGAACACGAATCCTTATCAAGGAATGCATCTAGAAATATATTTAGTAGGAATATATTTTGGAATGTATCTAGGAATGCATCTAAGAATAAATCTAGGAATATCTTAAGTAATATATTTTGGAATATATTTTGAAATATATCTAGGAATATATCTAGGAATATATCTAGGAATACCTCTAGAGTCTAGGAATATATTTAGGAATATATCTAGGAATATATCTAGGCACATTTATAGGTTTATATCTAGGAATATATCTAGAAATATATTGAGGCATATTTCAAAGAATATACAGGGTGAGTCAAATAATTGTGGTGCAAAATTGTACCTGTTTTTGTGCAACTCTCCTGCATGGCGTTTTTAAAATATTTTTTGAAAATTTATAATTTTTTTTGGTACTTCAATGGCCAAAAAAAAAATTTCTCTCAAAATAAAAAGTTCAGAAAAACAAAAATGTGTAAATAAATTATTTCTATCGAAATCTAAAATTTTAAAAAGATTGAATCACAGAATTTCAAAAAACTTGCAAAATTGTAATTAGAAAATTCGCAGTTTTCAGTTCTGGTATAATTTTTACGGAAAATTTGTTCTTCAATAGTTCTTAAGGTTTTAAATGAACAGCGTATATTTAATACTTTAGAATATACTAAGAAGAAAGGAACTAGAGAATTTAAATAACTTTCCCTTAAAAATTAGACCAGAACTAAAAATTGCGAATTTTTTAATTACTATTTTGCGAATTCTATAAATTCAATCTTTAAAAAAAATTTATATTTCGATAGAAATAATTTTTATGCACATTTTTGCTTTTATGAACTTTTCATTTTGGGAGATAAAAAGGTTCGCGGATTTTTTTGGGCCATTGGAGTACCAAAAAAATACAAAGGAATTGAGCCTTTGCCACAAACTCGGATTTTTAAAACCCAATTTCTTTAAAACCAAATTTCGTAGACCGTAGATATTTCAAATTATGAATTCTGGTGGATCAAATAATGTAAGCTTGAAATATGAAAGGTATGCATGATCTGGTTGTGGAGATATAGGTATTATAAAATTGGGATTTGTGGCAAAAACTCAATTCCTTTAAAAAAAATATTGAAAAAATACCATACAGGAGAGTTGCACAATAAAAGGTAAAATTTTGCCCAGGCACCGCAAATCACACTTTTTTTTTGACTCACCCTGTATCTAGGAAATTGTTTAGGCATATTTCTAGAAATATATCTAGGAATGGAGCTAGGAATATATCTAGGAATATATCCAGGAATATAACTAGGAATACCTATAGAAAAATATTTAGGAATATATTTAGGAACATATTTAGGAACATATTTAGGAATATATCTAAGAATACATCTAGGAATATATCTAGGCACATTTATAGGAATTTATCTGGAAATATGCCTAGCAATATACCTAGGAATATATCTAGGAATATATCTAGGAATATATCTAGTGTCCGTCCTAGTAAAGGATTTTTGGACGATCACAACTAATTAGAGTCCCTGGTCCTAAATAATAATTTGGAAGAGGAATAACATATTTTAATGGAACGTTAGAAATAATGAAACCCTAAACCTACCTTCGTGAGAAGTTTTTAATCGATCATGATTCCGTTTTATTCAATCCATTAATCAAACATTGATTTTCACTAGCTTAATTATTACTATTGAGTAGCACTATCTATCTATCTATCAACATAATAACTTTCACTTTTGCAACAAACACCTAAACGTTATCACTTTTCACTAGTTCTTAAACAACAGTCCTACGCATCCTCGCCACGCTATATGCGTGAATATATATATTGTGTAAAGCCATCAAGGTATTTACTATTGATATAAAACTATATCTGTCTGCTGTGTATGTTTATCTGGCTGTTGTATATAAACTACTGAGTGTAGTGGTGAGCGGGCAGGTAAGAGTTAAGGGGCCCACAGTGGAATATACAGGACTAGGAGACGATATTTCAACCCGCCGCCGCCGCACTTCACTTTAGACGGACAGTTAACAGTCACTCACCTTTAAACATTGGAATTTATCGAGAGAGAGATAGCGATAATTTTTTAATAAATAGATTACTGCCATACTGTTAATTAAAGATGGTTTATTAAAATACAGAATTGGTTTAAAGGTTGTAACTTGAAAGGGGGGGGGGGTTACAAGGGTGCCTCCCCCTTAATGTCGTGCATCAATTGGATTTATAAGAAGGAATGAAACATTGATAAAGACACGATGCCTTGAATGGAATTATGTAAAGTATTGTGAAGAAATGGAACTATGCATAAAGATGATGCATTGATTGAAACTATGATTTTAGGATTGTAAAGTAATTGTAAACATGATATAAAGACAGTGTTGGAACTATGATTTTTATGTAATAAGATGTGTTAAGTTGAATTAACTGGAACTAAAATAAACAGATGGTAAATAATTTGAACCGTAGCATCAAGTTGTACTAAATAGAAATATATTTTAAAAGAAGATTATTATTAGAATTAAAAGATTTCGTCAGGGAATATTAAAACCATTTTCCCTTAATTCTATTTTCCAATTTAAAAATATCTTGAAGTGTCTATCACCATAATTTCTTATCTTGAATCCTAATATATTCTAATCTCATTTCCCCTATGATGTTTAGTATAATATACTAATTCTTCATGTGTATCTACCTGGAGAAAATTTACATTTTTAAAGAAATCACAAAAAACATTTTTACCATTTTATAGCAATTTAATTTTTCCTTCTTTAATTTTCCCTGCGGAGGGGTGCTTAGCCAAATAACAAAATCTTCACAAAACCATATATGTTGTAAAGGAAGAGTAAAGTATGTTTTGGTTTTAGGACAAAAATTGTTTTAAACAGTTTTATCTTTTAGTTTAGGTCTAGTAGAAATACTTATATTTTATTGCCATTTACAGTGAACAAAATTGCAAGTTCCTGAAAAATATTGGCAGAAACCAAATGTATGAGAAAAATTGAAAATTCAGTATTAATAATTGGTGTTGGTCTATGGAACAGAATTCAGTATTAATAATTTGTGTTGGTCTATGGGACAGAATTCCTAAAATTGAAAATTCAGTATTAATAATTTGTGTTGGTCTATGGAACAGAATTCCTAATATTTTTAGCAATCACTATCTTATTAGTCAATAGTTTACAGTTTACAAAAAGAAAAATTTCAATTTTTTCTTAAAAACGTTTTCCATTAAAGAAACAGTTTTGTTCATGCTATGTTCTGCTTTGTAGGTTCATCAATTATTCAGTTAAGAGTTGAAGCCCAATTCATTTCAGAAAGAATGTACTCTTTACTTTATACAAAGGAATTCAATCAAATTTCTCTTTTTAATTTAATTAAAATAAAATTAGGATAAAAAAGGTGATATATTGCAATGAAATAACAATTTACTCATGTTATTGACAGTAAACAAAGGAGCATAAGGAATCTTTGTAAAGAGGTCGAATTTAATGAATTTGAGTCGCAGCTTAAATGTGAGACTCGGCTCAAATATGGTTGGTTCCACTTAAAATTGTGTTCAATGTTTTAAGATTTAAGCCTTCGCTCGATTGAAACCGGTTTTTGGAGAATTTAAGACGAGGCTCAAATTAATTAAATTCGGACTCAGTTTTGTTTTTTTATCAAATGTGTAGAGAAGTGCAGGGAACTATTAAACCACTTAGTTAAGAAACTGTAAAGCATCTAGTTGGTTATTGTTAAAAAATAGCCATCACAACAAAACTAATGAAGAATAAATTTTGACCAGAACAAAAAAATATATTATTGAACACACAATATACTGCATGCAAGTAAATGTGTTTCAGAGATGACAAACATTAATCTACCTTTATATCAGATCAAAAAATTTAGTCACCAGTTATCTCCATGATTCATATTTTTTCAAAACAAATCCATGAAGCATGCATCAAAGTTCCTTTGAAATATGATTTACTAAAACTTCTGGACTCATATGACACTCACAATGGTAAACAAGAGGTCCTGGTTAAAAATCGAGCCAGTCAAATGTAGATTATTCATGTTTGTTATAATAAACAGTGAGAACCAGAAAACTCTGAAATCCAACTTTATATTTATAGATTTATTTTCGAAACTCACTGAGGAACAATAAAGAAAGCTTTAAGAATATTGTACACCATAGGGCCATCAACAGAGATCAATATGGTCTTATTTCTAAGAATTAAGCGAGTTTAATGTTAACTTTTTTATTTCTGATTACAAATTGAGGTGGTGGAGATTACCAATTGAGGAGTGCGCATGCCGCAAAACACGTTTGGGTTGCGGTGATTACTAATTGAGGACTTCTGCACTCCCCCCTTTGATAGGACATACTTTCAATGACAACTATTTATGAGAAATCAAATATAGGACGCATATATAAAAGTTTTACATACATTTACACATTTGAATATTTCAAAACAGGATAAATATATGTATATATAGGGTGGCCGATAAAAAACAAGGGTTAGCGATTTCAAGCACCGGCAATCTTTTAAAATGGCTCAAATAGTGCTGTAGTAGACAGTTTTTAATTTTACAATGGGTCGTTTCAGTAACATTAGTAAGATTTGTAGTTTGATGTTTCTGTTTAGCGTAAAACCATGTCAATCAAGAAAAAAGATAAATACGGGATTGTTGGTCATTGGTCTCAGCACTCAAACAAGTGCTGTGAATTATTAGTTCCTAAAATATATCTATGGGTCCCTACTCCTGCATAGGCAGGGATACAGGTTCTTTACATTCGCTTAGATAGGTAGATAGAGGTGCTGGAGATAGATAGATAGAATGAAAATTTGGTAGACAGCGAGACAGATATGTTAATAGATTTAAATGATAGATAGATAAAACAGGTTGATGCATATAAGGACTATTCTGTTCTGAATAGGATGCTTTCATGCCAATTTATTAATGTGCAAATAAGAACCAAGAATTCAGTACGCTCGGGCCCTTTATGAGCGTTATAACGATTATAATCTAAAGAAATATCTAGAGTTAAATTTGATTGTTGGCCTTAAATAAAGTCGTTTAATGATATTTTAAAGGATTAGTATAATAGTGATTAGTTTACAGTTTCATTCTTTGTGGTTAACCCTGTTTAACTATGTATAGCAAATATCGTGTAAACATTATATTCTGTAAACCTGCAGTACGTTGTAAATTATTAACAATTTATGTTGTAGAATTATACATAATGACATAATTCATTGAAACTGTGTTTCAATTGAATAAGAAGCATGATTAGACTAAATCATGTGATATACTTAAATAAAGCTATAAACATCAGGGGCGTATAAAAGTCACTATAGTAAAATAAAGAGATCTAAAATGGATATTTCTAACATTTATTTAAAAACGAGAGTTTTGAAATATTTGCATTTAAGGCGGAGTTAAAATTGGTTGATTTAGAAATTAACAAAGGAATTATATGATGGATATTTGATGGTACTTCATGGGAGTGTTGTAGAGCTTCATGTTGGTGGAGCAGATCAACAGGAACTGGGATAACAGGGCTTATCAATGGAACTAAGGCAATGCAACTTGAGATAGCGGAAACTTCGGTCAGAGCCGTGAACACGTTTCCTAAGTAAGCTCCTCAAGAAGTTAATTGGGAGATCAGAGGTATAAGCACGCCTGCTGCCAGCTCAGTATCTGCATCGTCAGCATGAAGGAGTCAAGAGGCTCCGTGTGTCGGAGCTCTTACCAACCCAACTCTCCTAACCTGACTGACTGGGATGTGTTATAGAGGGGTGAGGCAGGGAAAGAAGGAGCGAGGGTTACATGTGTGTACTTCATGGCGGAAAAATGGATCTTGTGTACACACGCATCTTGAGAAAAGGCTACGGCATTTGAGTCGGAAACATCGTCTTCCTTATATTTCGAGTTTGTTTTAACAATTATATATATTCTCTCTAATCTTATAAATATGTAAATTAAACTTTAATTGTGCGGTAAATACGTAATATGATCATGTGATAAAGATAATGAAGTAGGAATTGTAATTACCTCAATTCATGTTAACTTGTGACATGAGATATTTAAATAAAATTAGTTTATAGAGTAACTCCGTATACAGTTTACTGCGAGAGAGTAATCCTGAAATCCTGTTTTGATAAAACAGGTCAGATCGTCCCCATCATTCGGGAGTCTATAACTTGTTTGATAGCTAGGCTGTGGCATTTAGAGCACCAGATTTTCCCCATCATTTGGGAGTTTAAAGCTTGTTTGATAGCAAGGCTTGTGTCCCGGTGTGGCATTTAGAGCACCAGATCGTCCCCATCATTTCGAAGTCTATAACTTGTTTGATAGCTTGTGTCCCTGTGTGGCATTTAGAGCACCAGATTTTCCCCATCATTTTGGAGTTTATAGCTTGTTTGATAGCTATGCTTGTGTACCTGTGTGGCATTTAGAGCACTAGATTTTCCCCATCATTTTGGAGTTATAGCTTGTTTGATAGCTATGCTTGTGTACCTGTGTGGCATTTAGAGCACCAGATCGTCCCCATCATTTTGGAGTTTATAGCTTGTTTGATAGCTAGGCTTATGTCCCTGTGTGGCATTTAGAGCATTGGATAGTAAAATTAAAACTATAGTATTAATTAGGTAACAAAGCCTGTACAGTAATTTGATCTTTCCATCATGTTAGATCAGAGGCGGCTGAAGGGGAGGGGGATGTTTTTGTAAAATGAGTTTGATAAGATAACCTTTCTTTTTTCGGGGATTGTTTCGGATGTTTCTTAAGGTACTGTAGAGGATGAAATCCCCGAAGAGGATTATAAAATCAGTAGCGTTGGATTCTGGACCAGCGAAGACCTACTCATCTTCCTCTTCTTTAATACAATCGTTTTTCATTCTAGAGGCAATAAATTTACTTCTTAAGTATCATATTCTTTCAAACATTTCGAAGAAT